GTGGTAATGTTGTGGTCTTCAAAGACCCTGTTCTTAAGTTTGCCAATTGCAGCACTAGCTCGGGAAATCCGATGTTGGATTTCATAATCAATTAAGACATTGCTAGAAAGATGGCTGCCTAAGTCCTAAGTATGGGAAACTGGGAACGCTTTCTAGTATTGCATTGTTGGTAATGATTGTAGGGGGTGGTCGATGTCCTCCCGGAGCTTGTTGAAAAATAATCTTTGTTTTGCTGGTATTCAATGTTAGACCCATCCTGTAAGCATCTGTAAATATATTGACGATGACCTGAAGGTCAGCTTCTGAGCAGGCACTGACTTGGGCATCATCAGCATATTGGAATTCAATAACGGATGTTTCGACTTGGCTCTTAAACGGTTAATGTTGAATATGTTCCTGTCTGTCCTATATGTGATATTTATGCCTCTGAGAAGTCTGTTCTCTGTCAGATGAAGCATTCCCACCAGGAAGATGGAGAAAAGAGTTGGTGCAATAACGCAGCCCTGCTTCACACTGGTCCTTACTTCTATTGGCTCTGAGGTTTCACCATCAGAGAGGATGACAGCCTTCATACCGTCATGCAACAGATGGAGGACGTTAACACATTTTGTTGGGCAGCCATATCTCAGAAGGATTCTCCATAGTGCATCACGATTAACATAATCAATATCTTTAGTCAAATCAAAGAAGGCCATGTACAATGGTAGTCTCTGTTCTTGGCACATCTCTTGGAGTTGACGGGCTGAGAAGATCATGTCTGAGGCTCCCCTGCCAGGTCGAAAGCCACTCTGCGATTCAGGAAGGAGTTTTTCAGCAAGTGGTAGAAGTCTGTTTAGTAGGATTCTTGCCAGTATTTTTCCAGCGGTGGCAAGAAGAGAGATTCCTCTGTAGTTGTCACAGTCTGACTTGTCACCTTTTTTGAAAATGGTGACAATGATGGCATCTTTCCCTTCGTTGGGAAAGTCTTCATCATTCCAGATCCTGGCCATGAGGGAGTGGAGGTGTTCTAGTAGGAGTTGTCCTCCATGTTTGTAAATCTCAGCAGGAATCTGGTCTAGCCCACTAGCTTTGTTCTTTTTCATCTGCTTGACAGCTTTAGCCACTTCAAGCATCGTTGGTTCTCCAGCTAAATCCTCAGTGGTAGAGTGTTGCGGAATCTCACTGAATATATAAGCGTCTACAACAGCGTTGCAGCTGAAGTGTTCCTGCCAGTGGGAGATGATGCATTTTTGTCTTTGAAGATTTCTGTCCCATCCTTAGAATGAAGTGGTGCAAGGCCCTGTTTTGATGGTCCATATAAGACTGGTTGCTTTATAAAATGCATGTGGGTTATTGGAATCTGCAAGATGTTGTAATTTTTCTACTTTGTTTATGAACCAGTTCTTTAGTTCCCGGATTTTTGTTTGTACTTCCGATTTGGCCTCCTTATATGATTGTTTTTTTTCTTTCAAGATTGTTTGTGTTGTTGCCAGGCGATACATGCTTTCTTCTTCTTGTCAATGAGGCCTGTAATTTCCGGGTTGTTGTTATCAAACTAGTCACAGTTTTTCCTTCTTGTGTAGCCAATGGTGTTTTCACAGCCGGTTATAACTGCCGTCTTGAGTTGTGTCCAGTACTCATGAACATTTTCTGAAGCATGGTTGATGCTGAGTCTTTGAGCTAGTTCTTTCAGTCAGTCCTGTACTGCTGGGTCTTTTAGTCTGATTACATTGAGTCTTTTTCTCCGTAGTTTTGGTCGGTTCATGTGTTTGTGGTTTAGTTTGAGAGTCACCACTGATCGAATTAGTCTGTGGTCAGTCCAGGAATCGTCTGCATTGATCATGGCATAAGTGATGCGGACGTCTGTGCTGTCAAACTTCCTGACAATAACGTAGTCCAGTGAATGCCATTGGTGTGATCGAGGGTGGCACCAGGAGGTCTTAAGGCTATTCTTCTGCCTGAATAGGGTGTTTGTGATTGTCAGGTCGTGCTCAGAACAGGTTGTAAGAAGAAGGTGACCATTGGAGTTGGGCTTTCCAACTCCCTCTTTACCAATTACACCGTTCCACATTTGATGGTCTCTCCCAACTCTAGCATTGAAGTCGCCGAGGAGAATCAGCTTGTCAGTTTTTGGTGTACTCTGAAGGGTTTAGTTGAGTTGGCTGTAGTGGGTTTCCTTAGTGTCTTATTAGAGTCCAGTGTTGGTGCATAGGTGCTGATGATGTTTTCGTGTTGGTCTTTTGCGAGTTTCAGGCCTAGGGTCATAAAACACTTATTGATACCATTTGGGAGCTCACTTGAGCTGCTGATTAGCATGTTATCTATTGCAAACCCTACACCATGCAGGCGTCGTTCATGCGCTTGTTTACCCTTCCAAAAGATGTAGCTTCCACTTAGCTCGGTCAGTTGGCCTTCATTCGCCAGATGGGTTTCACTGAGGGCGGCAATATGGATATTAAATCGTCTCAGCTCACGTGCCACAAGAGCTGTTCAGCGCTCTGGACTTTGCGAGTTTGGGTTTGTGTGAGGGTGCTGACATTCCAGGATCCAATGTTTATGTTATACAGTAAAACCTTGGATTGCGAGCATAATTCGTTCCAGAAACGTGTTTGTAATCCAAAGCACTCGTATATCAAAACATTCGTATATCAGTTGTGATCACGTGACGCTCGGCAGACAAAGCGTATACTGCATGTACTACAGTACTCGTATTGCAAGACCTCGCTCGTTTATCAAATTAATATTTAAGTTAAAAAAATGCTTGTCTTGCAAAACACTCGCAGACCAAGTTACTGGCAATCCAAGGTTTTACTGTATTTATTTTTGTTTCGACCGCAATTATTGATGTTCCCTCTGGTCGCGGTAAGCGAGATAGGATGTTGCTAGGCAGGCTATGTTTAGGGCACATTTTCTAGCCTCCTCCCAATTTGGGGTGAGCAGAGTGGATCCTTGTGGGCTTCTCAGTCACAGCTACAGCTGCCGGGATGTACTCCTGCCTAATCCGAGTGCATGACGACCATCTAATAGCTGCCGCCTTGGTGCTGGGTTGTGACTAGGAGCTTCTAGCTGCATAGGCCTGCCCCGCTTGCCACTTGCCAATCGCCCAAGGGCTTTGGGTGTGTAGTGTGGTGGTGCGATGGCACATCTCCTCTGGAGGGTGCCAGTGCGTGAATTAATTTACGTGCAGTGTCTGTTGCACACCAGCTACCGCACGGGGCTTAACCAGGAACCAAGCCTGGGTCCAATGACGAGACAGAAAACCAAGACGATTGGAAGGCTTGTCCTGAAGCACCAGACATCCAGTGTCTTCTCCGTCATATGCCGTTGGCCAACTTAACCGGAGCTCATCTACCCCACCGAGGTGGGCCGTTGGCCACTTGGTATCCACCCAAGATTTTATCAGGGTTTACTCCCTTAGCCTAAGTGGCTAACCAGAACTCCGTTAGCCAGCGCGTTTTCAGTTGAGTCCAGACAGGCCTTTTTGGTTACCGAAGTGGCCCAGGTGGTCGAACTACCTGCCATACTTCGCCCTGTCTGGCAATCCTGTACTTTACCTGTTACCACCTCTTACGACATGGACTACTCAGCACCGCCCACTACTCAAGCAGCCACACACACAAAGCAGGAAGCCAAACCCACTACGCAGTTAGCCCCACCCACTACATGTTGCCCCAACCACTATGCAGGTAGCCCCACCCACTACTCAGGTAGCCCCACCCACTACTCGGTTAGCCCCGCCCACCACTTGGGTAACCCCGCTCATTACTCGGCTAGTCCCACCCTCTACTTCAGGAGCCACGCGCACTGCTCAGGTCGCCCTGCACACTGCTCAGGTAGCCCCAACCCACTACGCAGGTAGCCCCACCCACTACTCGGGCAGCTCCACTCACTACTCAGGTAGCCCCACCCTCTAGGTGGATCCACCCACTGCACAGGTAGCCCGACCCACTACTTAGGAAGCCCTGCGCACTTTTGAGCTCCTCGTGAAATTAGTTCCCTGCAGCGCTTGCTCCCCCAGCCTCCATCGCTGCACCAGGGCAACTGCCCCCGTCACTGTGGAGGGTTCGCGTGGGGCGGGGTTGAGAGGGGACGCTCAGAGAGTGAGTGGAGTCTCCCCTGGTGACGTCTCTCACAGAAACAAGTGGAAGAGGAGATGCGGGTGGTGCAGGAGAAGAGGAGGGAGGTAGAGGAGTCCGTGAGGCGTATGGAGGCCGCTCGCAGGGACGTGCAGGTACCACGTCTGAGCCGGACCCTGTGAACCCGTGACTCCACTCTGAGTAGTATTTGTGTTAGAGAACAACTCCATTCATTCAGGTGGACTACCATTGGCTCTGAACACGTTGTGGGTCTAAAGACACAACAGTCAATCTGCCTCAATAATCAGGACGAGTAAAGAGGTGGTTCTCATCTCCACTGAGAAACTCAATCAGTGGTGGAAATTCCACATTCCCATATCTCCATACAACTTACCACTTCAACGACTGTTAACTATATTGGTCAGATGAGGTGGTACGTACCTCTTATCCAATACTCTGGTGGCAGAGTTGGTGATCACACACAATTGTACACTCTTTTAGTGAAACCAATCAGGCGTTAGAGTAGCCAGGTGCCAGTATTGCAAGTGGTTTCATGATCCCCTCTCTTCATCCATACATGTGTTTTTTTCTCACATTAAAAAATTCATTTAAAGAGGAATTGGCCTAATTTCCCATTTCATTAAGACTCTACTTGTTGACGGCAAATTGCAGATTTCCCTTCGCTTCATGTGAAGGTAAACAAAGCATCGTCCTGAGAGTCTTACGCAATGAGAATGACACGTACCATTAATGTACTCCTGATGGTATTTGATTATTTCAATGCCTCACAGCCCCCGAATCGTGTTTAACTGAAAATGTACAATGGCGTTATCAGATGAAGAAGGAGGCCTCAGTGCTGCAGACTCGTGTCACTGTCTGGACACCTTAGAGTTGCACTCGGGTCACACCGACCTGAATGTCATTTCACAAAGGACCAGACATTTAATGAACAGAGGTGGCATTTGTTTCTCTTTGCAGGGATCCATGACAGATGAAAAGGCCTCAATCTCGGTCAGATTCGTCAGCGCGAGAGCAGCGTTGGATGCGAAGGAGAAGGCGGCTTTAGAGCAAGCGGAGCAGAAAGGGCGCGAGCTGCTGTATCAGATCAAGAAGAAGATCGCTCAGTACCAGCGCGAGATCAGCGAGCTCCAGACAGTAGCCACTCGCCTGCAGACCCGAGCGCAGGAGAGTGACTCATTCGCGTTCCTGCAGGTGAGGAATTAGTTTCCAGTGTCGCTATTGGCACAGAGCCCTCTCACCAGCAGCAGAAGAGGGAGGCTCCTGAATGAGAGCTCGCATCTCATGGGCTTGAGAACACAGCTCCAGTCATGGATCCGCATTGCAGCTCCAGTTGCTGTCATTTGGAAGGCCAGCTCATATTTTCACAGTTAAATTAATTCTCTCTCCCGTCCTTTCACAGATTCCCATTAAGTTTGTTTCATTGTGAATATAAAATAAATGGTATTGGAATTGCACTTTTTAAATCAACCCTACAATAAAAGTGCACGGTATTCATGATTATCATTAGACATGATCTATCTACTGATGGATGAAGGCCTCCCCAAGCCATTGCCACATCTCATTATGCCGCGATGCAACAATCCAGCAGCGCCTGCTCACGTGCCGATGTCATCGCTGCTTCTTTGTGAGCCTTCTCTTGTTCGTATTATGAAAGCTTAAATAAATATGAGGTCTCATACACGTATTAATGATATCATTGTGTCTTGAACATCACTTCTACAAGACCTGCACCATGTGCATTGGTAACGCCAAACATTTCAAGTCCCAAATTTCTCAACACAGATCAATATCAACTGGTCTCACTCTGAAATATTTGCCCTACAATTCAGTGTTGGTCCTCATAGGGGTGGCGAGATGGTAACTACGTCGCCTAGTATACCGGAGGTCGAGGACATCACTATAAATTTGTAGTTTGCATGTCTCTCCCCATGGTCCTTCCAAATTTGGAAACGTCCGTTTAGAGGATTGAGCTGTTATAAATTTCCACGTGATGAACCACTTTGTTGAGCTATCATTTGTGGCCAGGTCGCTTCTGAAAAGAGCCATATACCTCTATGGGCTTTACCTGGAAAAAAATAGTTTATAGTTGACTATCAACCAGTCTCCCTCTGAAATATTTGGCCCGTAAGTCAGTGTTGGTGATCATGGGGTCATAATCCAAGACTTTGGGGTTTATATTCCACCCACAGTTTTGCAGTGGGAACTCCACTGAATGCAAGGGAATCGAAGTAGAGTCACAGTAATGCATCTCTCTCTCTCTCCCACAGGGGCACCTGGAGGAGACGCGCAGGTAAAAGACGACTTTCACTCACGGCTCGACACACGAAAACATGGGATTGAGTGTGGGACGTGGGCAGTGAGACATTGGCTGTATGTGATGATGCCGTGTGGTGAAACTGTGTGTGGTGATGTTGCGTGTGAAGATGCTGTGTGAAGATATTTTACGTGATAATGCTGTGTGATGATGCTGTGTGGTGAAGCGGTGTGTGATGGTGTGTGATGATGCTGTGTGATGATGCTGTGTGGTGAAGCTGTGTGTGGTGATGCTGTGTGATGATGCTGTGTTAAGTGATGCTTTGTCTGATACTGCGTGGTGATGCTGTGTGATGGTGCTGTGTGTGATGATTCTAAGTGTAGTGATAGTAATGCTGTGTGGTGATGTTGTAAGTAGTTGTGATGTGAGTGATGATGCTTTCTGTGATGAGTCTAGATGTGATGGAGCTGTGATGATTCCACGTGTGATGAAGCTGTGATGAGTGTCTATGTGATGGAGCTTTGATGATCCTGTGAGTGACGATGCTCTGCGTGATACAGTGGCCGTGTCTGTTCTGCTTTCACAGGGCAGGGAGGGTTACTTTAGCTCCACCCTCAGCTCGCAGCCAACAGGACATTGCCTCACTTCAAGTCCTGGAGACAAAAGCAGTCAAACTCCTGTGTGAGTTCTTCAGTGTGAATCATGGGTGATTGGGTGGTTTTGACAATTATCCCCGTGTGTGTGCACGAGGTCGACTCAACCTCAAATGAGTACCTGGTGTTTTGTGTAAACATCACCACTAGGGAGACAAAGGTGGCCAGGCGTAGTGCTGGCCACCCACCCCCTCGTTGGCCGTGTCAGCTTTTAAAGGTGCTGACTTGCCCTGACATTGTGTTAAGGCTACACAGGGGATTTTAGTCTTTGTTTATATACTAATCCACGACCCGACTGATCAGAGCCATGAGACTCGGTGTTTTTGGTAAATAATCAGCATTACCAGTCATGGGTAATTGCGATATCGAGATGCGGTGTGTGCCTGTGAATGTCTCTATGCATCTGTAGGTGGGGTGAGCGATGGCTTAGTGGTTAGCACACTGCACTACGAACCCAGTTTACTGGGTTTGATTACCTGCCATTGCTAAAATTAGTGGCAGGTGATATCTGATCCATTCCTGGGCCTCTGCTAGGCAGTTCCAACCTCAAATGAGTTCCTGATGTTGGTAATGGTCATAATGATGATGATGATGGTTGTGATGAGGATGGTGGTAATGATGCTGATATTACTGATAATGTGAGTGATGGGAATGGTGATAGCATTGGTGATGGTGTTGGTCGTGATGGCAGTGATGTTCGTGGTGATAATGATGGTGACACTGGTGATAATATAGTTGGTGATGGTTGATGGTTTTGCTGATGACACTGATGGTAGTGATGAGATTGGTTTTGGTGATAATGGTAGTGATGGTGGTATTGAGTGTTTTGATGGTCGTTGTGATGGTGATGATGCTGGTCGTGTTGGTGTTGTTGGTGATAGTGATGAAGATGTTAGATGGCGGTGATGGGAACTGGTGATGGTCGAGGTAGTTGTAGTGATAGTGGTGGTGATTACTTGTGATGGTGCTAGTGGTGATGATTATGTTTGTGATGTTGCTGATGGCGATAGTGATGTTGGTGATGTTCATCGTAATGATGATGTTGGTGACGATGGTGATTTTGGTGAATTATGTGCTGTTTGTTGATGGTGAAGATGATGGTTGATGATGGTGATGTTGATGTGGTGATTGTGGATAATGGTGTCCTGTAGTTATGTTGTGATCGCTGTTGTCACAGACGGATGCTCACCAACTCTGGACACAAACTCAGCTCATAACCAACTCCAGATCTCCTCGGAACTCAGGACGATGAAGTGGACCGGTGTTTCCCAGGGTCGCCTCGATCATCCACACCGGTTTGATGGCTGGTCACAAGCCCTGTGCAGTGAGAGCTTCTCGTCGGGCCACCACTACTGGGAGGTGGACGTGGGGGACGCGCGGTGGTGTCGGGTTGGAGTCGCGTACGGGACGATCCCACGGAAAGGGGGTGGTGCTGCATTGCAGCTGGGACGGAACGATGCATCCTGGTGTTTAGAGAAACGTGACGACAACTTCTCAGTGTTTCATGGTGGAGTGGAGACTGCACTGTCGGTGAGGGGGGCCCCATCCCCCCGCAGAATCGGGCTTCACCTGCACTGGGAGGGGGGGCTCCTGGAGTTTTACCGTGCCGACTCCATGGAGGTGATCCACGAGGTTCGGCAGAGATTCTTGCAGCCTCTCTACCCTGTGATGTGGGTGGGGTATTGTAATGAACCATTGAAGATCGTGGATCTGAGTCGTGCATCCTGAGGATGAGGAAAAATAGAAACCCAAGAAACCGAGACAGAAATCCAAGAAACTGATGAAAGGGGGGATGGTGAGAAGAGGGTGAAGTGAGGGTGAGGGTAAGTTGGAGGGGAAGGTGAGGGAAGGGGACAGGTAAGCGTGGAGGGTGAAGGGTCAGGAGGGGGTGAGGAGAGGAGAGGATGGGAAGGAGGGGGTAGAGGCGATGGTGAGGCAAGGTGGGGGTCAGGGGAGGGTGGGGTGATGGGAGGGTGAGGTGAAAATTTAATGAAGGGTGAGGTGAGCATGGAAGGGGAGGGTGAGGGGGGAGGGTGAGGTTCAGGTTGGTGTGCGTGAGCGATGTCACCTATGAAGTGCACATCGCCGGTTCAGAAGTTTGAGTCCATGTGGCCGCTCCTTCACCTGCAGTGCGCGCTCGTGTCACCACGCCCCATCATCCCTGCGATTCACCATCATCACCCCATCATCACTATCATCATCATCACCATCATCCCCATCAACACCACCATCATTGTAATTACCAGTCATCACTACCTCCATCATCACCATCATTACGACCATCATGATCATCAGCATCATTGTCATTACTCCATTTTAATCACTATCATCACCCCCACTCTATCATCATCAATATCATCACCAACATCATCAACATCATTATCCTCATCATCACTACGACCACGACCATAACCATTATGAACTACCATCACCACGAACACCACAAAAACCACCATTATCATCACCATTATCACATCCATCACCATCATCATCACCACTACCAACACTGCCACGATAATCACCTCCATCATCGTTACCACCATCATCATCACAATCATCACAATCACCATCATTACCATCATCATCAACACCACAATAAACACCAGAATAATCACCATTATCACATCCATCATCACGACCATCATCATCACTATCATCATCACTATCATCACCGTGAAAACCACCATAACCGTCATCATCATTATCCGGCGACCCGCACCCGCTCAAAATCCCTCACTTTTCGTTAATTATTGTGTTGTGTTCTTGTTCTTCGATATAATATTGTGTGTTCTGTGTCTTTTTTATTGTATTCGGTCGTGTTCGCTCGCATTGTTGTTGGAGTTGTTCTCAGCCGAGGTCGGCTGGATTTTCTCTACGGGGGAGGGTGGTGTAATGCGGGAGTACACGACCTTCCGGAAGTGACGTCATGGAGGGAGGAGTTACGTCACGTGGGGCAGAGGGTTCGGGTCTATAAGGGGAGAAACCGGAAGCAGAGGGGGAGTGATCAGAGACTGGGAAAGTGTAAGGCCACGCAGGGCGGAGTGGGGAAGAGAGAGAGTGGCGAGATCGCCACACACACAGACCCGAGGATCGGCACCGTCGGCCAACGGTGACCGACCCCGGGGCTGGAGGAGCAGCGAGGAGGCTGCAGAGAGAGCAGCGGGTCTGCAAGGGTGGAGTTGGGCAGCGGGGGTCTGCACGACGAGACAGCAGCGGGTCTGCAAAGAGAGAAGTGGGCTACGTGAGCGACAGCAGCCTGGGGGCTGCAAGAGCGAAGAGTATACAAGGGAGTGCTGGGAGTGGGCTACGTGAGCGATAGCAGCCTGGGGCTGCAGAGCGAAGAGTAAGGGGGAGTGCCGTGAGGGAAAGAGATCGAACCCAAAATAAAGGACACAGGACAGAGAGAAGCGTCCGCGTCTTTTATTACACTATCATTGTCAATGCGCCCAGCTTATATATATGCTCCAAGCTCGTGTGCTGTTTCATTCAGACTCTGTCGCCTCGACGGACCTGGTTTTCACCTGAGGACGGCTGCTTGCGTTGTGGCCGAAACGTCGTGAGAATTGTTTTTTTTTTATTATGTTTTATTTTTATTATTTTATTACTTCCCTTCTACGTGACTTTACCGAAAGAACCAAGAAGATGAAGACTATCATTGTCACCAACATCATCATCATTCCTCCTTCGCAAAACCGTTCTCTCCACAAGAAACATTAAAGACATAATACACACCACATACTTTCTGCCCCCCGCCCCCTTCTCTCTCCCCCCTGCAGCCGATCTCTCAGATCTCTCTAAGTGCTACCACGGGGTCCACTTTCTGCCCCGCCCCCTCTCTCCCCCCACCTCCTCTCTCCCCCCTATTGCCGAGGCCTATATAACCTCGTGCCACGGCAGGCCTCTCTCCTACTTCAGCAGTTTTTTTCTTGCCGTGGTTGTCCCACCTGATGACGATTGCTTGTGCTGCGATCGAAACGTCGTGATCTATTATTTTTCTACGTACGTGACTTCAGCGAAAAAACCAAAGAGTATGGATTCCTGCAGTCACAACTTCAAATCAAGATTGACACCACGTATTGTTTTACTCATCCCATAAGTCGCAGGCACGGCCTTCTGGGAGTTCCTAATTGAAGCGGCATTTGGTTCAACGCAAGCAACACTCTGGGACGGTTTTGACATTCAGTGTCTCATCAGCAGCAGAGTCAGGCTCGCGTGAAGCAATGTATGAATGTTGAACTCATTTCGCATCGTACGTAGCCAACGTACCTAGCCAACCGTGCAAATCGGAGGTGCAATGCTGGCGAATTGGCCAGATGTTCGGTGTCTCATCAGCAGCAGCTAGGCTTTGCTTAAACCAATGCTCACGAAGTATTTGCCGACTGGACTCCTCGCCGCCTGCTTGTATGTATTGTGTTGAGATTATATTGCGCCAAATGTAGCCAACTGGGCTAATCGGAGGTGCGGGGGAAGGACAACAAACTAAGCACAAAAACACACACACACAGGCACGGACAGTCAGGTACAAAGGCCGTGCGGGTTGCTCGTGTTTGATTAGAAAATAAAAATGGTCAATAAAAATCGAAGGTAAAAAAGAACACACAGCACGTGTTATTGTCTTGAGTATTACTGTTTATTTGAAGTGACTTTAACCCACAGTCTATAGAAAGCAATACACGTACAGTGACACAGACTAATTTGACGTGAGTTTGTGTGTGACCAGACCAGTACTCGCTGTATCTGATTCAATACAAATCCTATTGTAGTGCTCGTTCTGTTTATCAACACAAATGTGCCAAGTCTACTGCACGGTGAACGTGAAAGAGTTAATTCATTAGCACTTTGATATATTCACTCAGACCCATAGACTCACCACACAGAGACATACACTCACTCAGAGACAGACTCACGAACAGGGACCCATAGACTCCATCACACACAGACCCATAGACTCACACTGAGATTCACACTCACACAGAGACCCATACACACACACCGAACCAGACTCAGAGACCCATAAATTCACTCACAGAGACCCATAGACTAAGACAGAGACCCATATACTCACCACACAGAGACCCATAGACTCACAAAGAGACATATATGCTCACACAGAGACCCACAGTCGGTTCTGCCTCCACTGCTGCTGTATTTGTTGTTGATGTGGTTGTTGTTGATGTTGTTTATGTTGTTGATGTCGTTCCACGGGGATGTTGGGGCCTCGGACCATCGTGGGTCAGGGCTGGAGACGGCTTCCCAGCACGCGTTGCTGGTGATGTGGAGCACAGCGGAGGCACGGGAGCAGGGCCAGAGGGAGTGTCAATGGTGGTGGTGTACACGTGTGTGTGTGTACACGTGTGTGTGTGTGTACGTGTCTGTGTGTAGATGTGTGTGTGTACGCGTGTCTGTGTGTACACGTGTCTGTGTAGACGTGTCTGTGTGCAGACGTGTGTGTACGCGTGTCTGTGTGTACACGTGTCTGTGTAGACGTGTCTATGTGTGTACACGTGTCTGTGTGTGTATGCGTGTCTGTGTGTAAAGGAGTCTGTGTGTACGCGTGTCTGTGTGTGTACACGTGTCTGTGTGTACACGTGTCAGTGTAGACGTGTCTGTGTGTGTAGACGTGTGTGTACGCATGTCTGTGTGTGTACACGTGTCTGTGTGTACACGTGTATGTAGACGTGTCTGTGTGTGTCGACGTGTGTGTGTACACGTGTCTGTGTGTACACATGTCTATATGTGTCTGTAATGTAGCGGTTAGCGCGCTGCGCTACGAACTTTGGCGACCTGGGTTGGGTTCCCGTTCACGGCCAACACCAGTGACGATTAATTATCTGAACCGGTCCTGGGCCTCCCCTAGGTCGACTCACCCTCAAATGAGTACCTGGTGCGATGTGTAAACATCACCACTAGGGAGACAAATGCGGCCGGACGTGGTGTTGGCTACCCACCCCCTCGTGTGCCATGCCGGCCTTCATAGGTGCTCACTAACAAAACTTACTCCGACAATCTAAGGCTATACGGGGATCTTTGTACACGTGTCTGTGTGTGTGTGTACGTGTGTCCATGTGTGCGTGTACGTGTGTCCATGTGTGCGTGTACACGGAATGGGGAGCGGTAGTGTAGTGGTTAGCGCGCTGCACTAAGAACCTGGCGAACTGAGTTCGATTCTAGCTCAAGGCCAACACTGATGACGATTATCCGAACCAGTTCTGAGCCCTCACCTAGGTCAACTCAACCTCAAGTGAGTACCTGGTGCAGTGGTGTGTAGTGAACATCGCCACTGGGGAGCCAAAGGCGGCCGGGCGTGGTGCTGGCCACCCACTCTCTCGTGTGCCACAGGTGCTACAACCCGATAACAGCACTTGCCCCTAGACCTAGAATCTATTGGAGGCTACACGGGGGAGCTTTGTCTGTCTCTACATTGTGACAAAGCTCCCCCGTGTAGCCCACCCAGGCTGGAGGAGCAAGAGCTGTTAGTAGCGAGGAGCAGCAGCGCCTGTGAAGGCCGCCGTTGTGGCACACGAGGGGGTGGGTGGCCAGCACCACGCCCGGCCGCCTTTGTCTCCCCAGCGCTGATTTTTACACACCGCACCAGGTTTTGATTTGAGTCCGAATCGACCTAGGGGAGGTACGGTGCCCGGTTCTGATATCACTCACCACTGATGTTGGTCGTGAGCCGCGACACAGCGCAAGCAACCGCTCCCTACAATAAACAAACTACAACCATGAACCACCAATCACAATCACAGTGTGGGTCTGTGTAGAGGTGTTAAGGAGGGCA